GGGAAGCAGAACGAACCCAAATTACGACAGAAACAAAACTATCTCTCATCCCGAGGAGGCCGGCCCTCCCTACTTTTCTCAAATCTATTACTTGTGCCTTTAGGACATTAGGTTTTTAACTTGCTGGACACCTTCACGACAGGAACGGGTTTCTGCTGCCAGCCCATATCCCAAACAGACCTGCTGACTTTTTCACTGTCCAGAATTGGCCACTGCAATGTCCTGGCCGCCTTGGAGTTTACGACGTCACCTTAAAGTCCCTCCAAACACACAAGAGGCAGTGAATCTCTGTCTCTCTCTCGCTCTCCCTCTCGCTAAGCTATCAAGCAGCATCGGCAATTTGTAAAACCACGACATGCTTTTCCCCCCGTCTTCTATCACTGCGGTGTTTTAAATTAGCAATTGTTTTTTTTTCTGAACTGTACTGAAATTGATAAAATTTACATAATGTACATATTACAGGAAGCTATTTGCAATTACACCAGATGAATGTTTTATTCAAAGCAAAAGGAACATATACATAGAATAATTTCAGCTGTTATTAGGTTCACGTATCAAACAAATCTTCGTTCATTAATACAAAGGTAATAAATGTAAATATATAATAAGCGATGATGTCCAGAAAGCATTTAATGTACCAATATGCGTACATTTACCAAAGGTATGTCTGCAATCAAATTTATTTTGCATACATTTCTCTTCTTATAACTGCATTAATAACTGACATTATGTATCACTATCTTTTTCATAGTACCTTCCAAGGAATTCGTCCAGGCTCTGTAAATACAAGTCAAATTACAACACGTCACTCGTTACTACACTAGATTGATACCTCCAGTTAATTTCCAGATCTGTGAACAAACGACCGCAATCTGCATGGAAGATAGAGGCATCAGCAAATGCTTCTAGAACCATTGAAATACTTTTTGAAAGCGTTGTTCTGATGTAAACTGATAAAACCTGTGTTTCATCATTTTATTTTTACATCCTGCCTGTGTGGAGTCTACACAGGGTGATGATCTCTGTGTAGTTGGTAGGGGGGCAGGAGAGAATTCACTAGTATGGTATGAGGGATGATTAGGAGGCTAAATTTGATAGGGCCACAGTGGGCAATTTTAGCCAGGACATCAGGGTTCCATCTCTACTCTATCGAAAGATGCCCAGGGATCTTTTATGACCTCAGACAGTCAGAATCTTGGTTTTACATCTCATCCGTAGGACGGCACCATTTTTATAGCACAGTGTCCCCGTCACTGCACTGGGGCAATGGGACCCACACAGACCACAGCATGTCTTCCAGCAGCAACCCAGCTTTTCTATGTTGGTTTTCCATCCATCCTGCTTAGCTTTGGAAGGATCACCTAGTCTGAACTGTAGGTGGTACAGCTGCTGACTTTTAATTCAGTTTTTTCACCATATAGACTTGTCCCAGACTCGTGTTTACTCTCCACTGTAAACATTTCCTGCTAGCTCATTGGAGTCAGAAGACAGAAGGAAAAATTATTGGTTTAGGGAGATAACCAATCGGATTGTAGAGGAGGTGGGTCCAAGCAGCTAGAGAAAGTGGGACCACCCAGTCAGATGTCTTGGTCCTGCCTCCTGTATTTGCTTGGACCCACCTCCTCTACAATCTGATTGGTTATCTCTCTGAACCAATCAGAACATTTTTATGTAAGTAAAAGTCCCATGAGCTTCCCTCTACTATAGATTTCAATTTTTTTTTCCTTTAATATTTTTTTAAACTGTTTTATGTAGATTAATGTAACACCAGCCCTCATTTCACAGAAAAAATAATAACGCTACTCAGTACAGCTATAAGCATAAAAAAATGAGAAATTTTTGCTATAGTTGGCTGAGAACCTGCCATTGGCACAGCTGTATCCCAGAAACAACAGAGGGAAAGCAACAAGCATGTCTACATGTACCCTGGCCTAGCACAGTACTGGCAATCCTGCTAATGAGAGCCAGCTGGGCACCATTATCATTCCAGTTCCCAGAGCTGGGAACAGGGTCCATTACAATCGAGACAAACCACTCCAGCTTTGTCACAGTCGTCAACCTCTAGGTCACAGAAGGTATTTGTGTGTTTAACCAGGCAATGTTCGTTTTAGCCCACAATGCTGCGAGAACACTCTCTGAGTGCGGAAACACTTTGTACGAGTTGTCGTCTTTGTGCTCTCGAAGAGTTTCTCGACATTCTGGTAAATCACACGGCTGTAGCGTGAAATGTCAGCACACCGTGTTTGAAAATTGTTCACCACTTTTATTTATAAATAATAGCTAAAAGAAACACACTCCCTCACCACACATTCCTACCTTCGAATCCTAGGCTGGTGGGTCTGTTTCTTTGTGTGAGAGTCTGTACATCCATCCCCTTAACAAGATCGTGCAAGACAGGAACATCTTGAAATTATTTTAAGGATAATGTGTCTTGCTTCAGATTATGATTTAGGAAACACCCTCTGAAACCCATCTATATTCTAGCTGCTTATCCTGGTTTTGAACATGGGGATCTGTAGCCAGTCCCAGAAACCACAGGGAATCAGACGGGGCAGGATTCCTGTACATTGCATTTACCTACATTACGGGCAGTTTATAAGTTACTTCAACATGTGTGTGTCTTTGGATATGTAGCGGGAAAATAGCATGTTGCGGTATCACCTGCCTTAGGCCACGCCCCCCGCAATAGGTATGAGCTCATCCGATGATCGGGAATCTTTCTGCTTTTATTCCTCTGAAAGTTTTGGTTCTGCTGGCATGATGCATGCAGTGGTGAAGCACGACTGCTTACAACACGCCGCAGGCAACACACAACTACAGGCGCAACACTGGAAATCATGGGAAATCTACCAAGTGAAAGTGGGATTTTATCAGGGGGCCCAGAATTTCCAGGGCATTATACGCAAGTTTTGCAAATTCTTTCTGTCCTCCTACTGCACCATTTCCCCCAGTAATTTAGCGGAAATTTTGAGAGAACGTCTCAACTGTTTTACCAAGAAAACAAAGAAAGGTTAGCCTTTAAATCAGACTGGCATACTCTGTAAAAAGCAGGGACATGTGATGTTCCCATTACAATAAAACACATTTAACTTACTGGGGTCATCATTTAGAGACATTTGGAATTAAATGTAATATATTTAAAGGAAGGAGTCCTGTGTTAAAATTATTAATGAAAAATACTTTTAAAATGACAGGTTGATGGATGGTAACTGCTTCGGAGCATTAACAAGATGCACAGCTTAATATGAATATTTCAGACTGTTTACACCGATAATCTTGTTTCCGTGGCATTTGAGGATTGCTTGTCAGTTCAGTGTCGCTCCGTATCTCCGGGTGCATAGAAAGTTGTTAGAAAGTTAGATGTGCACTTTGATATTATAACAAAACTAAAGTGAATGGCACAGGTCCCGTTCAGAGCAGTGACCAACCCCTCTTATCCATCCATCCATTTTCCAACCTGCTTATCCTACTGGGTCGCGGGGGGTCCGGAGCCTATCCTGGAAGCAATGGGCTTGAGGCAGGGAACAACCCTGGACGGGGGGCCAGCCAATCGCAGGGCACACTCACACACCATTCACTCACACATGCACACCTAAGGGCAATTTAGCAATGCCAATTAGCCTCAGCATGTCTTTGGACTGTGGGGGGAAACCAGAGTACCCAGAGGAAACCCCACGACGACACGGGGAGAACATGCAAACTCCACACACATGTGACCCAGGCGGAGACTCGAACCCAGGTCCCAGAGGTGTGAGGCAACAGCGCTAACCACTGCACCACCATGCCGCCCAACCCCTCTTAGTCTGCAGAATATGCTCAGCTGCATCTGCAGTTAGGCCTACAGTCCACTCCACTACTAACCATTAACCAGAGCAGGGTTCTTCAAATCTGGACCTCGATTCCAAATCCAGGCCTTGTTTTCAGTTCTCCAAGGTAGTTAGTTTAATAATTGCTGATTCTGATTGGTCAGAGGCTTCACACCTCGCTCACAGGTAAAGGAAGGCTGGAAACCCAGCAGTGCTCGGACCTCGAGGACCGTGATTTGAATAACCCTGAACTAGAGCATACACTAATTTAATGTAGACTATCATCTGTGTAAGGCAGGGGTGGGCAATCTTATCCACAAAGGGCCGCTGTGTGTGTGAGTTTTCGCTGCAACTCCCTAATTAGATTACTAATTAGAGGACTGATTGGCTGAAGAATCCTCGCACCTGGGTTTGAACAGCTGACCTAAAGGTTACCCCTGAATCCCGCTTACACGCCGGCCCTTTGCGGATAAAATTGCCCACTCCTGGTGTAAGGTGTTTCAACTGTGGGACACGGATGTTTAAAATGATACGCACGTACGCTTTAAAGAGCACTCTTGACAAGATGAAGAGCACTATTGTTCACTTTTTAAGGGCAGTGGTAAATAAAGCTGATTTAAAAAATATCAATCATGAAAGGATAGTCACAATGGAATCTTTGTCTTTGTCCTGTTATCCGACACATTTACATTTTCTGCGGCCATCACTTCCCATTGTTCTCTTTATAGATTAATCAAATCGAACCACAGTGAGCTCAGCAATCAATGCAGCAATGGGTTCCATCTGGTTTTTAAATAGTACAGGAGATGCCTTCAGTGTGGGACAGTAACCCCTTAATGACTGCTGCATTCCCAAAAACAGTTATCACATCTTCTGTATTCTTCATGCCTAGAAAAACACATTAGTTCTATAATCCAGTCACCCAAGCCTTACACTTATCCCGTGGGTCCTCTATCAATTGTGTATGTAGATTTTTATTACTTTGAATATGAATAGTTATCTGATTTTAATGAAACTTGTCGTGCAAGCCTCCACAGTTTTACCTCCATTGTGGTTTATTGAGACCCAAACTCAACGTGTTATGCAGGTTACAGTGACGAAACGCATAGAGAAGGGTCTGCTTTTTCCTTTGCAAACGAAATCAACGCTTTGAATAAGTGCACCGCTGACGCCACGCATCTCGGCGATATGGAGCCCGAAAGCGTTAATGGAGACGTTAACCGTACAGGGTACAGGCTCATAGTCGCGCGACTCCTGCGGCTCCGGGGTGAATGTTCGCCGTTGCTATGGTCACAGTCTTCATTATAAGCGACTGAGTAAGTCTCGCACTTGAGAAATTAATGGAGATTTCAGATGCCGGGCTGGAGAATTACCATTGGCAGGCTATTTGCTCTCTGCCTCCATTGATATTTTTACCCGGTTCCCCTGCGCTGGCCTCCTGCTTGGACAAGCACTGCGGACTCTTCTTGCTGCTAGTTCCGCCGCCCTGTTATAAATAGTCGAGTTCTTGCACCACTTTATTGTGTATGTCTCTCTGGACGTGAACGCGAACACAGTGTGGTGTGCGACAATCTCTCTTTTTCTTTTCCTTTTAGATTACACTTGTATTCATGCGGATTAATGCTTTACCCCCTATTTAGTGCTCAATACGGGTGCATATACATTGCAATTGAATTACAAAAAGGACATCTTAAACACGGGAATAGGCAATGTGCGTGTACTGCTTTTATTCGTGATTGTGATTGACCAGAAGTACAACTTGCTGCTTAAGGACTCCGTGGATGTGCTATTTAATGGTGGTGTCTGCATGGGTTGTCATCTCATGCATTTAATTTTTTTTCTGGCAAATCTTGTAAAAAGACTGACCTTGGTATACAAGCTCTTGGACCATATGTTTAAAGCCGTTAACTACTGCATGCAGTAGCACTTAGATTTTTAAATTCACTGCTATTAAATCCACTGGTAACCACTGCCACTGCCAACACTGTGTGTAGGATAATCATGTTTTGCAACCACAAAATCCATTAATTGTGAATAATCTGGCTGCCACGTCCTCCACAATGCAGATGAATATGTATAGAGAAGCGACGAAATGTCTTAAAGCCCCAAGACTGCGCTTAGCTCGGAGATTAGTGGTTTTATTTATAATAGTTTTATAGCTTTATAAAGCCTTCATCTCTCTTAAAACCACAGGCAGGTTCATAATGAAAGTATTGCTTCTAAACCTCACACTGGGCATCTCCGATGTTCTTCGAACGCACCTGTTTTTATCTATACATCTTCACTAACCGGGGCAGCGCTAATTATTACCCTTACGCAGAATTAATCATTTAGACGATTTAGAACAAGACACGATTAACAGGCACTAATCTAGCTATTTACGATTTAGCGCAGGTTTCCCTGTGCATTATTTAACGACTAATTAAGGAATATTTAGGTGATTAGTTAAGCTTTAGGTCCCCAGCCAAAAAACAAAGCTGAAGTTACCTTAACAACATCCAACATCCACCTAATCCAGATTCATTCAAGGACATAGTCTCATTAAGGCTCCATTTCTAATCTGGATTAATTGTTCTCAAACCTTAAGTGTCTCTAAAGAAGGGGCTATTCTACTGCCAAGTTTTGGCACATTCGCATTGCATGGCTGCATCCAGGACAGCTAATCTAACTCTTTGGGAGTGATAACAGGCTGATTCTGGCTGTGCTACGTTAGCCAAGATGCCTGCCAATGGCCATTAGTCCAACCCATAGGCTACGTCTAAACAGTGAGTGACATTCAGTCACTGATAAAATTAGAATGGAACCTTGCATTGCCACACAAACCGGTTAGTGTACGTTTCAGACAATGACATGTACCAAGAGGGACACGTGACGTGGACATGCTTTGGAGACCAAGGGAACAGGGAACTTGCACAGTGGTGTCAAGCATTCAGTGAGCAGAATATTCAGGACTTTTGGAAATTAGTAAATGTGGCTATTTTAGATAGAAATGGCTATGCGCATGTATATATATGCTGGGTATACAAGGACCAGTGCGGGTAAGTCAAACCCTCAAGTGCTAACTGGACAGAAAGGTCAATATGCAGGAATTCCTGGATAAAGGCATGCATTGCAGAGCTCCATTGTGCTATAATGGAGGTTTGGCGTCCCCACCTCCCTCAAATCATCCATCACTCCTGTCCTCAAGAAACCAGTGGTCACCTGACTGAATGACTACCGGCCCACTGCACTGATGCCAGTCATCATGAAGTGTTTTGAGCGGCTGGTCAAAACTCACATCTGCTCCTCCATCCCAGACTCCTAAGATCCTCTCCAGTTCGCTTACAGATCAAACAGGAAGGACCATCGCCCTTGGTGACACATACTGCTCTCACCCACCTGGAGAAAAGGAACACATTCGTGAGAATGCTCTTTATTGATTACAGTTTCGCATTGAATAGCATCATGCCTTCTAATCTCCAATCTCGATGATCTCGGACCAGGGACGTCCAATCGCAGATGGATGTCCAACAGCAAGGGGGGACATGCTGAGGTCAAACGGGTCAGCAGTTTCGAGTTCCTCGGTGTAAACATCACAGACGACCTCTCCTGGACAACATACACAGACACTGCGGTCAGGAAAGCTCGCCAGTGGTTCTGCTTCTTGAGCAGGCTGAAGAGGTTCGGCATGAACGCCAACATCATCTCAACCTTCTGCACAACTGAGAGCTTGCTGATGTGCAGCATTACAGTATGGTATGGGGACTTCCCTGCCTATAACCAGAATGTCAGCCGTTCAGTCTGTTACCGTCTGGAAGGCGATATACAGTACTACCATGACTGCTTTGACTACCAGACTCAAGAACAGTTTCTACCATCAGGCCATCAGACTCCTTAACTCCAACACTTAAACATTACATTACCAATATACCACAAAACTCTGTGTACTCTGTGTGCAATGAGAACTGTGTAACCACTAACTGGTACATCGTGCAATTATTGGCACATACACGTCACTTTCTTCAACGTGCAATACTGATGCCTGCACTGCACCCCCCCCCCCCAGTAATCTGCACATACATTCCTTTTTTATGACTTTTTAATTCTTTTTCTTATCTTATAAGTTAATTTATTTAAATATCTACTTTTAATCTTCCGTGGGCCTCCGTTGCTGACAGACTATTTTCTTATTTCTGTTCTCATCCAACGCTTCTCATTGTAATATTGATCCTGTGTTAACGAACACATGACAGTAATGAACTGAAACTGAACTGAGCTATATCTGACTTAACGTGTTGTGTTTGTGAGTCAGTGGCTGCATCTGCCAGTAATTAATTGGTCATGAATAAGGAGTGTGGTGTAAGTTTGCCAGAGGTGTGAGTTCTTTCACAATACTTCCTAGAAAAATGAATTTCTGTCGCAATGCCTTATATCTGATTATTATAGATTATTAATGCTTGCATAGCTAAGATGTAGAAGTAAATGTCACCTTCCGCGGTAATCAGCATAAAGGAGATGTGGTTATCTCAGTGGTCTGCTGTAATGAATGGTAGGCTGGTTGTCTTTGGGCACACAACTTCCAAGTTAATAATCTTTACGGAGCCTAACGCACTGCAAATTCGCATTTTATAAAGCCAGTAAGAAATGCAGATGTTTGTTAAATTTTTCAGTTAACTCTGCTTGAAGTTCACATTACATAGGTGAGATCGTGCTTCTGAGGTGCAAGTTTTGATATTTACTGTGGCAGAGAACTTTCTGCTGAGTGTAGGGCCATCGAAACAAAAACACGATTCATAATTATAACTGGTACTGCCTGGTCTGTGTGGATGGTAGAAAATGACATGGCTAGTAATTGTATGTAATGCCTTCATGTACACTCCTCTCAATTCCTCTAATGCAATTTCATGTTCACGTTCCATTTATATTTTGAGTTGGAAGTAGTTTTAAAAAAAAAAAAATCACTTACTGACTCATTGCGGAATCCATCTTGCAGCAAACGCAAGTATGAATGCATATTGTATTTATGCTGCTGTTGTCCCATTCGAAGACTATCAACGTAGGCCTTGATTTCAGGGAGAAATGCGACAAAACAACCCTGTTTTTTGACGTTTTTATTTTGATGAAGTGGTTATTGAAAATGGGTGGTTAAATAGATCTCAAGGTTAAGGACACTGGCAAAAAAATAACAAGTAACCTAATAATTAACTGTGCATAAGAAGTTTATACAAGGTCCAGGAATCATCAGTTCAGCTCTATAAATGGTAATTCTTTGTTTACTCTGAGTAATTATCTATGCCTCCATCTTCCAGATGCTTGTTCTGGACAAGGTTGCAGGGGACTGGACCCCATCCCAGGCCGCACCAGGCAGGGGTACGTACTGGCTGAAAGAGCAGTCTGATGCATGGCACATACACTATTTAGAGATGCCTCTTAGTCTAACTGCAGGTGGGGTGGGGACTATGGTAGATGTGGGACTTGAACCCACAACCCTGTACGGGTGAAGTTGCAGTGCTATCTATTGAGCCTTCCCACAAACATAATATATATATAATATATGTGATATACGCAGATTTTGATGGTTTCAGCTCTAGCTTTTCGCTAATGATCTAGCTATTTCTAGGGTAATTGTCTTGTTTGCGATGTCCTCTCTGTTCTACTTGTCATACATAAAAAGGAAAAGAAAATGAGAATACGCTTGCAAGTAAATAAAGTATAGTCAGTGGTCTAGGTGTGAAAATATAACTCATGCAAATATAAAGCATTTTTATCATACCTCCAAATGGCATTCGACTGAGAGGTGGATCAGCGGGTCGTACTTGTGTGTGAAGCATCACCTGGCTCTCTCTCTCCATACAGTTTGGCTCGTTCATTCCTTTGCTGTAGTGCAGCGTTTCGCAAACCGTTACACGGGGAACCCCAGACAGTCCACGTTTTTGCTACTTACTGGGAGCTGGGAGGGAGCAAATATGTGGACCGTCTGCGGGTCTCCAAGAAGCAGGCTGGGAAACACTGATCTATCAAGGACCATGGGCTCCCAGCTGAAGGCTTCACCTAAGGACCAAGCAGGAGATGAACCTACAAGCAAACCACATCTCACTTACTTCTTGTTGTGTCCCATCATTTTCCCCAAAGCCTAAACTGAGTGACACATGAGAACTGACCTCATTTTAGTTTTGCTTCTATAAATGTCAATATTTTAACGATGCTGATGGTGATCCATTAATTATCATTTCTTCTAGCAGCTTATTATCATCCTTTAATCTCCAGTTTAGTAAACGCTGACATAAGATGAGAGATTACCAGTATATAAGCTGAATATAGAAAATCTGCAGATATTGTTGCCATTTGTTTTTCTCATCTTCCACTGTTGGAAATTGCCTTTCTCTCTTTTCCTGACTCTTAAATAATAGTGTTCTAAAAATACAGGCAAAGTAAGGCTGATATTCTAGTCTGACATCCATAAATTTCATGTACTTTGATAAATAAAGGGGAAATCTGCATATTTTCCACCATATTAACACATTTGTCACAAAACTGAAAAGTCCAGGATGGTCGATCATCTAAATCCCTGTTGTGTAAATATATTTCTGTCTGAAACTAGTTTGCTAGCCATTAAATATCCGTTAAACGTTTGAAAATCCATTAAAAATGCGTCAGACTTAAGAGAATCTTAATTTGTTATGTTGGAAGCCCTTACGATTGTTGTAACCCTGTAAAGTCCAGCTTATTATTCTCAATTGGCTACTGAGCAACATATACAAAATTTAAGAGTCATTCTGCCAAGGAGTAAATACTGACAACAGCTTTGCCTAAACACGACTCTGTTCCTTGACACCTGCCTTCGTTAACAGACAGATTCCGTTCCGTCGCGTTAGAATAAGTGTGGGTGATGAAAATGTGATAATGTTAATAATTAGCCCCGCTCTTTAGGCAATCGCGTTTTTACTGGATGGTGCGGCTGCAGCAGAAGAGAAAACAAGTTGTAAATAACGGTTGATAAGGTCACTTCTTAAAAATCTTTTTATTAAAGGGTAAATCTCAGTCGTAAACATTTCGCTGGATGTTCTGCTTTTTTATTGTGGTTCTGTTCGGTCGTATATTTTGAGCTGCAGCAGAGTCATTAAAGGTTAAAAGTCCAGGGAGAGCATTACAGCAGATTACCACGGATTATGATGCACGGCTCTCCCTCACTTCAGGCACCCGTCTCAGCAGACCGCCCCCCCCCCCCCCCCCTCAGCATTCGGGTTCTTTGATAACGGCCGCGGCGCTGCGGTCTCCTTCGGTAAACAAGCACTCGGGACCTTCTCAACCTGCAGGGGGTCACACCTGGATGGTTGTCACTCAGAGGTTCGTTACTCCCTTGACCTCCATAACAGGGTCGCCCAGAATACTGCTGGGGGAGAGAACGGCGATTCAGTAGGCAGGCTGGTACCCTGAAGATGGTTAATTCTAGATCGCGAGGGATACAGTTTGCTCGAGTGAGGTTGGTACCTAACCTGAATGGCCCAGTAATTGTAATATATATAAAATAAGGGAACTGGCTGGGGAACTTCTGAATGGAGTGGGGATTAAGTAGCATTTTTTAGGGCACTGTGACCTTAAGGATGGATGGGCAGTTAGGAGATATTAACTCCTGCTGTGTTTGCCTGATGTTTTTCTTGCTGAAGCACTTTTAGACATTTGAAGTAACTATGCTAGGAATTTAAAAAAAAAAAACACTGTCCATTCTGCACAAGATTCTGCAGAGACCAAATGCATTAACTGGGCATTTTAAATGTCATATTTCAAGCATAATGTCTCCATGACTCTCCCTTCAAATTATCTGCTATAATAAAAGAGCAACAGAAAAGGTATTGAAATAAATCGCTTCATGTAACATTTTACAAAATAATTACTCCACATAAGAGACATGATTTCTTTCTTAATTAAACTAATTGTGAGAGTGGTGTTAATGATTTTATATGCTTTCAGTGTCAAAGATTATATGACTAATACGCTGTTGAAAAATATTTTTCCATGGCATTTGTTCATTACACAAACATGAATTTGAATGTTGAATGTTTCAATGTTGAATGTTCATGCAGTCAAGACTTACTGCCTTGTGTGGCTTGGAGATACCCAGTGAGTGTACTAATAAAGTTTTGGTTTCAAATCTTAAATATGGGCACAATGAATTTGTCTGTTTATGGTATCTTCCATAGAATATAGTCTTACTCAGATGGATGTGCTTTGATCCTAATTAGCTTCTTGCATTGTAGGGTTCCTTTGTACTTGCATTAAATTGGTACCTTAACCGTTCATGACTTAAACACCACATTCTGAACTGTATCTGGACTTGATGGCTGCAGTCACACAGGATCCATTAATTAAAATTGAATAATCATGCACTCTGCTATTCCATTTATGGTGTTTCCCAGCCTCGACGCCTCATGCTTCCTGGAATAATGTAAGAGCTCCCTGCTGTTCCATACTGGATAGCTGGTATGCAAAACTAATGGATGGAAGTAGTTACTATGAAATTTATTAGAGATGAAATGCTGTTTTAGGTACTAATTTAAATTGCTCATACCTGAACATTGATTTTGTGCTTCTGCTTAAGTGTAATATCCCACGGTAATTGGCACGAATCCCATACGTATAAATAACCAGAGATCCAGCTATAGTAGAAACCGATATTGATATGTGTGTAATTATAATTACCAATCAATTAATTGTAAAGTTAATTATGATAACAGAGACTGAGACATTTCTTGGCTGGTAGATAAAGAAGATTAAATCACATGTGACCCATTATGGCTGTGAACCTGAAAAAGCCACAGTGCATACTTTGTTGGCTAAAGGCCGCACACGTTCGTGCTAATGGCCTGGATCTTGTGATGTACTAGTGTTTGTTATGTTTTTGAGGACCTTTAGAAATGTGCCAATTAGAAGAGCCCCCCCCCCACTTGTTGGGGTCTTGTCTGCACTCTCGTCGCTTTCATGTGCATTTTCAGCCTTGTTGGACGCTTCCGATCTGACAAAGGCCGACCTCCGTAGATGTGAACATTAATGCAGCGCTGCCATAGTCTTTCATCATCGGCGTCCTGTAACATTGCATTCGCCAGTCAAACAGACCAGTGAATGCGTCAAGTTTCGCCCTAATAGGTGAGATTGGAGTCTCCCCCCCCCCCATCTGCCAGTGACGTGCAGCATGCAGCCCTGGACCATGGGAAGAATTTACAAAAGCCCTCGTGACGCATCTCCTTCAGCCTGACAATAAAGTACATTTTAATTCCGTTCTGCAATGGGACAAAATAAACTCAGCAGTTAATCAGCTGTTAAAATGCCCCCTGGCACCATCTGTGATTACGATGATGCTTATTTTATTTATTTCTCCCCCTCGCCACACATCTTCATCATAATTGTTATTCTGGATTTATAGTACCATCCCCCAGGATGGGGAAATAGTGTGATGTTTGTCTCGGGAAACATGCCGTCACCTCCAGGCTAACTGTGTACAGCAGATGGAGCCCCAGCTTTCGGGGGTTACCGTAACAACGGGTAGACTTGCAAAAAATTCTTGTACAGGTCTGTGGTTGCTATATTATTTTTGTGTGGATGCTTCCACTCTGACTCACGGAGCCAATTACAGGGAAGCACGGGGGTTGATATTCATAATCAGTAATGAATATTTAAATTTTAATTAGCCTATTTTTAGTTTTAGTTTAAAGTAAATTTGTGTCCTGGTGTAAACATTCTGTACTTTTGTTGTCACATAAAGGGATGAAAAAAAATCATGTTTGCACTGCAAAGCTGTGCAAACAATTGATAATTAACTAAACTTATTCCGAAGTTGGCCAAATGAAATTAAAGAATCTAATCGGCATCGACGCTTAACTCAGTCAAAGGCGCAAATTAATTTTTCTGTGAAGTTCGCAAATTGCTTCCAGTTTTGCCTGTTTGACTTTTGCTCAATAAACTGTATTTCCATAAAAATTGTGAAACACTATGGTAATGAAAGACAAAGTAGGACACAACTTGTAAGCTCAATGTGGGTGTCGGTGTGGCTTCAGCATCGAGAGGGACCAAATCAGCCCCAAACCCCTATTGGTAAGGAGATGTTCTTATCTTCCAAACCCAAATCAACACCCTTCAAACTCAACATGTTTATGTGTGTGTAATATTACTCTACTAAACCACTAGCTGCCCAAAATTGCCAACGATTAACCTTTTTTACATTACAGGACTGTGGTAATTGTAGTTAACAGTGTATCACGCCAAGGTCTTACATCGTCTTCTTTCATAACTATGTCCCTAAGGCTACACAGATCAACGAGTGGTGTTTCTCACACGGTCTGGCAAACCATATTGTTCCTGGCTTGCTGTATCTGGCTGTGGATTCACAGTTTTGGCATTAAACTTTTCTATCAGAGGCTGTTTGGTATGAAGCATCTCTCATGAATTTCAGCAAGCTGGCTGAGCTGCAGTTTAATGTTGCCCAGACAAACTGCACCTTGTCTTCTCTCTGTCTTTTTATAACCGAGGTGCTATCTCCAGTTTTCAATGAGGAATCCTTTATTTTTTTTATTTTCCCTGTCATATTACTCCTCTCAGAATTCTCAACGCTGCTTCACAACGGGAGGTGACATCTCCGAGGTAACCGGTGGACAACCTGTCCAGAGGAGCTGTCTGTGGCCTTCTAATCATATGAGCAGCAGGAATGCTTTATGCTACCTGGGGTGACGTGGATCTGTGTGATTCCATTTCATCAGAGGAAGACCTTCTTGTGTCCAAGCACACAGGCCACATTAAATTGTTCTTGAAGCCGGTGGAGTCTTCTGATGTCCCACCTTTATTTATGTGGAATGTGGAGACTTAGCTGCTGTTAGCACTTATGATAAGATCCATCCCATAAACAGGCTTGTCACACCATGAAGCAATCATGCCACATTCTCAGGGCTTGTAGCAGTCACTTTACAATACAGGTCTGTCACCCCGATAAGAAACATCTGGTGATGCTTGAAGTTCTCCAGAAATATCTTCCTAGAACTTATTCCACTGTCCATCCACTCATGGTGTCAGTTGTTTGCTTAGGCGATTTTTCACTCTGGTTGTGGTTCACAATTCTATCCTGCAAAACACACGGTTCTTTACGTGCTTACTACCGCTCTATGTCTGGAATAATCGTACAATCTACTCTGCTAAATGAAAAGGCTCTGTGCTTTTAAGATGCGCTATTAAGTACAACATACAATGTCATCCATCTTCCAACCATTTATCCTAGGCAGGGTCACCTGCAGCCTACAAGGATGAGGTCCAACCTGGATGAGATATGAAATACCAATTAGCATAACTGCATGTTGTCAGAATGTGGGAAGTATCTGTAGTACTCTGAAGATAATGAGCATAAGCATGAAAACTCCACACACGCAAGCAGTGTTGTGCAAGTTCACGCTCAAGGACTAGGTCAAAGTTCAGTTCACACAGATTAAAATTTACGTTCATAGTTCACAATCATGTCTTCTGATTTTTTTTTTTATGAGCTGCTTTGAATCTAAACTTAAATTTTTGTTCAGCAGCTCAAATATCACCAGCATCACCTACCATTAAAAAAACTCTTGAAATTTATTGATATAACCAAACTATTACTGTC